AGATTTGTTCCTTTTGCCAATTTCAAGCCTAAACCTAGTCATCAGATCATAGGGTCTTACAGTCATAGAACTACAGATTCATAGAAGGTCAAGACTGGGAGGGACCTGAGAACAAAGGATCATAGATTTAAAACTAGAAGGAACCTTAAAGTTCATCTAGTCCCACCCCCTCAAGGTCAAACAGTTCATTAATAGCAAGCCCCAGATCTCTTGACGGTGTTCCGATAGACAAGAGCAAGCTGGAGGCTGGATTCAATCTGCTGCCAAAGGCCTAAGTACTGTAGAAAGGAACCAGCACAACAGAGGAAGAGGACGAATGAGAAGGTTCAGGCTCCAGGGGACAGTTTCTAGCCGTGCCTTTTCTCCACTGGCTGTGGATGCCCTAGCACATGACCCTGGAAAATGGGGTGGCCAATGTGGTCATGGCTAAGGACTAGTTCAGAAGGCATCACCCCCAGAGTTAGCAAGGTTTTTTATGTGCAAAGATTTCTTCTGAGCTCCCTCAATAGCTTGATTGAAAGTATTTTTTAATACCTAGTGCCTGCATTGGGGATGGAAGTTAGATTGGATATGTGAGGCTAATATTTACTTGGTGTCTTTTATTTTTATTTTATTTTTATTTTTTTGCTAATATTTAATTGGAAGGGCTTGGAAATACCATTCTTGGGAAATATTCTGGCATGGTCATGCCCTGACTGTCCAGCCTTAAGAACAGGATGTTACTTCTGGCTGTGGAGGTGGGTACAGTCTCTGCCATTCACATTCAATATTTCCCTTTGTTTTTCCTGCTCCCGTGGCTGTCAGAGACAGCTTGTGCTCCTTATCTTATTGGAGAAAAAGACCCCCCAAGTCCTAGCCCCAGATGATCTTGTTAAAGTTACTGAGACCTAGTGTCTGGTCCTACTGACCAATCTTTAGAGTTGGGATTGATCAGCCAAAGAGAAAACTACCAGGGCTGAAGTGGGAGCTGACTTCTTGTCATTGCCTTTCTTCATTCCATTGTGGCCATTAAGCTTATGATGATAGAAGGAGATCAAGAAGCCACTCTACCCATTCAGGAAGGAGGAAGAAAAAAACCCTCAAAACTCCTTGACTTAAAACTCTAGGGAATTTCTGCTCTTTGAACAGATTGCATTCAAAAATCCTTCCCGCTATTCCACATCACTGCATGTATAGCACAATATTCTGAGTAATATTAGCCCTGATCAGCACCACCAACCTTCAATGGTCATAGCCAATCGGTCAGTCAATATTCATTTATTAAGAGCTTACCATATATCAGGTACTATGCTAAGCACTGGGGATACAAAGAAAAGCAAAAACATGATCCCTCGCCTCCAGGAGCTCACATTCCAATGGGGAAGGCAACATGTAAGTAATTGTATAGACAAGACATATACATTGCAAATGGAAGGTAATCTAAGAGAAAATCACTAGCTGTGGGGGGGGGGCAGATCAGGTAAGAGGTCTCTTGCAGAAGGTGAGATTTGAGCTGAGTTGAAAACCAGGAGAACCAGGAGGTAGAGGTGGGGAGGGAGGGCATTCTAGGCATAGGAGACACCATAATGGGATGGAGTTGGAAAATGAAGTGGCATATAGAGCACACTCATTTTGTCCCCATCATCAAGACTCTCACAATAATGGTGTTTCCTCCAGATTCTGCTCATTTAAAATGCTGAATTGCTGTACTCAATTAGAAACCACTGGGGGAAGGGAAGACAGGAGGCTGGGGCTCTGGGTACATTTCTCTGCTCTGATGAAGGGGTTTTAGCTATAACTCTTGCCTAGCACTGACTCTCCATCAGTATAGACTTTATGGGACTGCTGACCATGGAATACAGAATGTTAGTCCTGGCAATATAATGGAATATAGAATGCTGGAAAAGTCCTGGCAAGAACACTGCATCTGGAGTCAGAGGACTTGGGCTCAAATCCCACTTCTGTCACTAACCTGTGTTACTTTGTGCAAGGCACTTAATTTCTTTGAACCTCAGTTTCTTCATCTATAAAATGAAAAGGTTGGGCTAGGTGGTTCTAAGTGCCCTTCAACTCTAACCTATGAACTGATTTTCTTTTTTAAAAAATGAACATTTGTTATTATAGCTTGAAGTTATTTTAGAGAACACCAAATTTTATTGATGGGGAAACTGAGGCCTAGAGAGGTGAAGTGAAATGTCTAAGGTAACACAGATAGTAGACAAGGACAGAGGTGAGATTTGAACCCAGGTTCTCTGATTCCAGATCCAGTGCTGTTGCCAGGTTCCTTACTTGAACAAGTAATTAGCCCGAGATCACACAGATGAGTTAGGACCTAAGCTGGAGCAAGAACCCAGGTCTCCTTGACTATACTGATCAGGTTCTACCAAACGTGTCCGAACCAGCCTCAAGGCACAGGTGTAGGTGAAGGTACCCATAGAACACATCTATTCTCAGAAATACAGTGCCTGGGAATACCTGGTTCTGGCCCAACCAGACTTTGTATGGGACATTACTCACGGTGGTTCTGGGAAAGGATCGAGTACATTATGGTTATAGTAGGTCAGATTCTGTCTTCTCCACCATATTTTTCTGGGTTTGACATTCCCATGGCTTCTTGATGCCAACAGGACCCCAAATATCAACTAGGATAGTGGTGGTTTCTCCACCAGAAGTGGGGTAAAAAAAGAAAAGCAAAGAAAATCACTGCCTTATGTTGAACCATCTAACCAGACCTCATAAATCAATACACCAAGCTACAATCTGTGCTGCCAACTAGCCACTGGAAGAGTATTTACTTTATCTATGAATTGATTGCTATAGTTTTGCCACCACTACAGCTAATACCAGCCACCCACAGGGGTCTTCATACCAAGTGTGAGATGAGAACCTCCAGGTTCAGGTGAGGCCTGGGGCAGTGGGGAAAGAGGGTTCTACTAGCCTAACAAAGTGATCACAGAATTTCTAGAGGTAGAGTGGATGTTGAAAATCGTGTAGGCTAATCCCCTTCTTTTACAGACAAGGTAACAATCTCAGAAAGAAGGGATTTGTCCAAATTTTAAGTGATGTGGGGGGGAGAAGCTGGAACATAATGTTAAAGGACTGGATCCATTTTTCTTTATAAATAGATGTCACATCACCTTTCCTTCTCCATCTCCACCCCTTCCATATGCATACTGGTCTTTGTCCCAAGACTCCTCTTCAGGGCTCTGTGAGAGACCACTGAGATTTCTGGAGCTGTCCAAGGTACTGGACTACCGTGGCTTGCACTCTTACTGTGTGTGCCTGACTTACAGCCATCTATAAACACTGAATGTTGTTCAGCTTGACTCTCCCTATACCTGCTGCCTACCATAACCAATGTCTTTCCTGACATTGTCTATCCTGCTCATCACTGTTGCCTATTCTGACCTGGCTGGTATAATGTAGATCCCAGCTAAACCTCAAGACAGGAATTCTGTTTTCTTGACCTTGTTTCACTTCCTCTTCCTACAATTGTAACCACAGATCAACCATGGTGCTCTTCTGCTTGGTATGAAATGCCTCCCATTAGACTGACTTCTTTGGGTTAAAATTAAAGGGGGTGGAAGGCCCCTCTTTAAATGCATGTGTTATCTGGGAGGAGATGGAGAGTCCTATGGAAGGGTCTCCTCTAGCCCTGTCCCATTAGCATGATTACATTTCTCAGATGAGTGATTTGTCATCCTGAATGGCACAGAGAACTTGGTCCTCAGGGGTTTTGATACAGGATGGAGGAACTTCAATAGCTTTATGAGGGAAAAGGAGACATCCTAGCAGGACTCTGTTGCCCTGGATGGGAGCAACAACATAGTGCCAAGCTAGGGAGGATGGGCTGTAAGTAATACAACCTCCACTCAAGAGTTCGCTGAAGGGGGAAAGGGGCCACTGAAGAATAAACTTTGTCTAGTTCATACTTATGCTTGGGTAGAGTTTCCAATTTAGCAACTTTGGTCAAGTGGCCTAGGGAAGGAAAAATTTACTCCAATAGCACTTAATTTGTTTAAGCTTTCATGCAGATGTTCAAATCACCATAAGCCCACTTTCCTTGGGCAAGAAGCTATCTATGCTGACTGAATGTCAAAGTATGTCAATTTAATTTCTCCTGTGACCATAAAAACTAATTAGTCATCCTAGAAAAGGGATGGGAAAATGATGCACTCCTTTCTCTTCTTTCAGAAGTGGGGGACTGTCGGTGTGGAATATTTAATATACTGTCAAACTCAGTTGATATGTTGGTTAATTTTCTCCCTTTTTCTTTTATTCTTTATTGAAAAAGATTTCTAGCTATGTAGTGAAGGGAAATGAAGGATTGGACTATATTTCAGAGTGCAAATCAATCTGAAAGGAGCATGCCCTTATATCTCATTTTCTCTGTTACCTGCCCCTTAAATCTTGAAATTTGACAGAATAGGTTGGGTGGGATTCAGTTGATTGGGGGGGTGTCCCTAATCAACCCAGTGCTATACCAAAACTACAAGTTATTTAAAAAACCAATTAGCCAATTGTACCATAGAACAACCAACCACCACCCAGTAAACCTTATTTAGGCTTTGTTGAAGTTTTTTTTTCTTTTTTTTAAACAGCACAATGTAAGAAATGGAGTCATTACTGATGGCAATCCAACATCTATGTATATTGGAACCACGATCCTTTAATGAAAAATGCCAATATTCAGGACATTGTTAGCTTCCTAGATTAATGACTCACATCCCAGGAGTAGAATTGGCCCCTGTTGAGACTATATTGACATATACCTCCGATAATCTCTCAAGATGCTAGAATAGGAAGCCATTTGGTACCAAACCAATTAAATCCAGTTGACATCCCTTTATGGGTGTCATTCAGTTGCTAAGTAAAAGTTCAATATGATGTGGGATGAGATCCCACTTCTTAAAATTACAACTCCTATTTATATTGATGAGACCTTAAATCAAACATTTGCTTTCACTTCTTATACCAGTCTCCACCCTCCCTCCCACCATTCCCTCAGTCCCAGGCTTTACCTGCCAGTGACCTCGATGTTGGAGATGGCATAGAAGTATTTGTAGAGGTTCTCTCGCTGAACATAGGTGCCACCCAAAGCAGGCCGAAGCAGCTTCATGCGCAGGTCAGTGGCGGTGAAAAACTCCTTGAGTCCCTTGGCACTTTCCAGTCTGGTGTAGAGATTGTCTAGGTTGCGGAGATCTGGGCCAGCAAAGATGGCAAAGCGGTCCCGTACCTCAAAGCGAACATGCTTCTCCTTCTTGGAGCCAGCCCACCGGGAATATTCCTCTGTGCACACAACCCGGTTGGCGCTTGTAGAGGACAAGTCTCGGACCCTGCGGGGAGGCATGTTGAAGGCTTCCATGCAGTCTTCAGCATAATACTGGTAGGGATGCCATGTCCGCCCATTGTCCAGTGACTTTTCCAGCATCATGATAGTGGGCCGACCATACTCAAAGGTCACCACTATGTCATCAGTCAGTTCAATACTCTTGTTCCAGGAAAGGGTGATGTTGGCTTCCAGTGGACTTGGGTATCGGCTCCATGTCACACTCTGCCAGTAGGTGGCCAGCCCCTCATCCTCCTTGTCAAACATGAGCCGAGGTGGGTGGGCCAGGTCTGGGTTTGAAGCATCACACTCATCACTGCACAAGTATGGGTTTTCCTGGGGGAGGTGGGAGAGGAAAGGGGAAGGGCAGCTGTTGGCTTGTTAGGAGGGACCCCCTAGAAACAGAACAAGCATTGCCCTCCCCTCTCTTCCAGAAGCTGTCTCCAATATCTGTGGCTCTAAGGTATGACTATTCTCAAAGCTACCAGAAAATGATTTTCTCAACATAAGGGAACAGAAAGTGCTTGAGGACACCAAATAAATGAGTGGGACAGCCTCTGTCTGCAGGCTGGGAAAATTTCCAAGATACCAGAGTATTAGGCAGAGTTTCCAGAGTTAGCAGGTCAACATCAGTCCCTCTACCTCCCTCTCAAAGTGCAACAATGCAGGTTACTGCATACAACCCCTAGCAAATAATCCCATTGCCTTAGCTCCAGGCACTGACTGGGAAAAAATCTCTCCACCCTCTAGCTCCCTTTGCTCTCATACTGTCTCTTAGGTTGCCTCTACAACCATATCCCAGCATATGGAAGTTCACACTATTATAGACTTCCTGGGAAGCATGGGCTGCATATTTCTAATATGACAATGGTCCCAGGCAGTATGTTTCCTCCTTAGATTAGCCCCGGTCCCTATTGTTGCCATTTAAATCTATTTCCTCTTATTTGCTTTATATATGTGAATTCACACTGGAATCCTCAAAAGGTTACTCATGAAATTCTGACTCCCCAGGCCATTTGCAGTCTTATTTGATGAATATTTCAAATCCTTCATTTGGTCAGAAACAGAACAGCTAGAATCTCAGCATTAAAACTTCTTGCTGCTTGCCTCATATGGGGGCAAGAGGTGCTCATTAACTCCTGAGATGGGGAACCAGCATGGGACCCAGTGTCTAGATGGGATAGAGGCAAGACACCAAAGGTAAATCCCCAATTTCTATAGCCAGGCATAGGTAGCCCAGAAGGACTTTTATTTGCTCTTAAGCCAGATGATTGCTCATTCCTCTCTCAGCTCTAATGCTTTAAAGGGCACCCCAAAGCCCCCTTGTACAAAAATAGTCCTTCTCCAATCCCTTACCTTCTAACCAGCCTGAAATTCACAGACTTATAGGATCAAAGAGCTATCAGAGTGAGGATTCTTAGTCCAATCCTGACATTTTAGAGAGAAGGAAACCAGGGCCCAGAGAAGGAATGTGAGTTGACTAAGGTCATACAGTGAGTAAGTGGTAGAAGTGGAGACCAGAAGCCATATTCTAACTACAGAGTTCATAATGTCTTAAGCAGCAAAAGACACAGCCCTGTCTCCAGATGTCCATAATCAGTCTTCTCTAACCCTCTCTTATTGGCACAGCTGAATTTATGAGATTAACATACTATTACTTTAGGTCCAGAGGATATCTGATACTCTCCCTATCACTGCTTCCTACCTTCCTCAAACTCCAATCCCCTATTTTTTACAAGCTCCATCCAATCCAGTGGAAGGAGTGCTAGTTCTGGAATCAGAGGAAATGGATTCAGATCTTGCATCTGTCACTTGTGTGACCTTGGGCAAATTACAACCTCTCAGGATCTCAGATCCTCACCTATAAAATGAAGGGATTGGACTAAATGGTCTTCAAGGTCCTGTCCGGCTCTAAATATATGATCTGCCACTTCCTTCCTCATTTTGGGCTTTTCCGAGAAGGCACACAGGGTTAGGGATGGGTTGGGAGACAATGGCTTTACGAAGCAATGTTTCATTTTGGATAATTTTCCTGGAAGCCTCATCTGGAGCCCTTTTCCACTATCCTAGAATATCAATACCCTACACATTGGTATTAGGCTAAGGGCACCCTCTCAACTACTTAATAAACATTTCTCTAAGTATAATAAAATTGCCTTATACTGCACAGATTGTAGCAAGGGCAGGGACTATCCATTTTCCTATGTCCTCTCCTCTGACACTGTCTCAAAATGTAACACAAGACTGACCACGGTGGACTCTTGATCAGTACTTTGGCTGACTACTGCAGGGGAAAGGGAGCTACCAGATAGGACCCTCCTCCCTTGTGTCCTTTTTTTTTCATTCTGGAAGTTCATTCTTCCCCACCCCCACCTCAAAGAGTAGTACCCCAGGACAAGGATCCTAAAGATGTCATAGCTGACACCCCCACCCCTTCCTCATTATCTGTCCATCACTGGGAAGACTGAAACCATGCTACCACTGAGATCTAACCTGTCTGCCAAACACGGTCCTGACCTAACCTGGGGAGTCAGAACGCAGCCCCCTACTCCTGGTTCTGAGAAGCAGATGGCCAGAAATGCTAATGAATCAGCTTGTGTATTTACCAGCCCGCTCCTGCTGTGGAGAGAGTTTAATAAACAGCAAGTACAATAAATAAATCTAGAGGCTGAACCGGAATGATATTCTCCCATTATCCATTCTCTCTCTCTCTGTCTGACTCCCTCCCTCCCACACTCTTTCTCTGTCTCTGTCTTTGTCTCTCACTGTCTTTTCCACTTCCATCTACAACTTAGACTTGACTATTTGATCTTTATTTTTTTTAAGTTGCAAGGTGTCCTGTTGGAATAGAGCAAGTCTTGCCAAAAACAAAGTCCCAAACACACAACTATTCTCATTACACCTGACACCACCCTGCTCCTCACCCCTAACCCCAGCTTTCTTTTCTGTTTAAGGGAATTTGAAAAAGTAATTGAACTGTTAGAAGCATGGCCACCCCTAATACTCCCACCAACCCCAAGTGCCCTGGATCACAGCTGATTCAATTGTGTGTGAGTGATGGGAGTTTCGACCCAATCTCTATAAAGGGCAGCTGTGGTTCACCCTAGTCCATTGCTCCTTTGCAGCTTCCCACTTATTTTCATTAGACACAGCTGAATAATAAGATAAATGATGATGATAATAATGAGATATAATATGAAAAAGAAGGATTACATTAGGATTATGTTCCTAACCTTTTGGGAGGACAGAAGCATAGCGTATGAAGGCTGGAAGGGATTTCAGAGATAATCTAGTTCATATGAGCGTAGAGTTAGAGCTAGAAAAGATCTTAGTGGTTATCTAGTCCAACCCTCTCATTTTACAGAGGAGGAAAACTGAGGCCTGAACAGGGCAAGTGAGTTGCCTAAGTTAGTAAGTGTAGAGCTAGAATTCAAACCTAGGTCTTCCAACTGAAAAGTCAGCGTGTTATCTACTGCACCATGGGGATGGAGACGAGAAATCTGACTTTGAACCCCACCTCCAATACTTATTATCTGTGTGACCTCATATAAGTCAATCCACCTCTCAGACCATTTCTTCATCTGTAAGTTGGGGATAATCATATTTACTCTACTTATCCTACAGGATTGCTTTGAAGCTAGCATGTTGTAAACCTTAAAATGCTCCAAAAATATAAGCTGTTATTGTGACAGAGGAGGAAACTAAGGCTGAGGTAGGGAAAGTCACCTGCCCAAGGTCATGTGGTAAATAAGTGGCAGAGATAAGACCAGAACCCAGGATTCCAGACTCTGTACAAAGCCCTTTCTGTTACATAGTGCCAATTCTCAGGGGCAATTAGATTGGGAGACCTTAACCGAATGTTGACTCAGAGCCCCCTCCCAAGTGTAGTTATAACCAGTCTCGGAAAAAGCCGAAACCTTACATCTGCCAGCCGGTCTTTAAAATTACATGGCAGCAAATAGTCAGAAAGGTTAGTCAGGCATAAACTGGTGGGGGTGGGAAGGTAGGTGGTGCAGGGGGAGAGGGGTAGAGAGTGGCATAAGAGTATAACTGACAGCTAGTCTAGACCGACAGACCCAAAGAGACACATCAGCCAGATGCTCTGCAAAGTCCAGAGATGGGGGATGCATGGGAGGTTGAGAGAATAATCTTAGATCTCATCCAGATCAAACTCCAGTCCCTCCTTGGGGATAACATTCCATTGGTGCAGTCTGACACAGACCAAAGTGGGGGATGGGGGGGGTGTCGTAATATCTAACTGCTCTCAAGGAAGAGTGGTATAAGCTGGGATCCTTGTTCCATGACCCGTTTAGTGCTTCCTCCTCTGTGAACCAGCAGTGAGTAGAACCTGCACCCAAAAGCTAACCAGGACCAGGAGATACGATGAAGGCTTCTCTCCCTTCCCCAACCCAGCTCTTAGCTCCCCAAAAGACAACAAATATGATGTCTCTCTATCAATCCACATGGACTCATATACATGTAAACACAGGAGGTATGACTGTAATAATTAGAATATTCAGGCCCTAATGAAAGAGCAGAAAACTTATGGACCCAATCAACGATGTCCCTTAAAGTTGGCTTTTGAGGGGGATGTCACACTTATTCCAATAATGCTTCTATCACTTAAGACATTCTCAGCTTTGCCATCTTGGGGAAGCATTAATAGATCTATTGTATTCAAAATGATGAAGGTGAAAACCCTTGTTCAGACCACCTACAGTACTGAGTTCAAAGCTGAGCATGTCATTTTTTCAGCCAGTCACCAACAAATATGAATTCATCCAAAGGAACACTGATGGGGGGGGGGCACTTGACATGATGTTGTGCAAGGATTTCCAGAAGAAAATAGGGATACTGAGTCTAGAGAAGAGGAAATTTTAGGGGGAGATGACCATTGTCTTTAAATATACATAGGATTGTCTTTGGAAGGACAAATTGGGTTTACTTTAATTTCTCCTGTAAGATTATATAAGGAAGAAATTCTAGACTTGTGGTATGGTGGAAAGAGCACTATCCCTGAAGTCAGAGGACCTGGGTTCAAATCAAGAACTCATTCCCTGTCTCTGTCTCTTCTCTTCTCTTCCCTCCACCCCCACTTTCCTTTCTGTCTAAAGGAATTGAACTGAACTGTTAGAATGCTGGTCATCCCTAATACCCTACCAGCACCAAGTGCTCTGGATCATAGCTAATTAAATGGTGTGTCAGTGGTGTGATTCAGGCAAGTTATTTAACTTTCCTGGGTCTCAGCTTTCTCATAGATAAAATGAAGTGGTTGAAACTAGATGGCCTTTGACATCCCTTCTTATTCCAGATCTATGCTCCTTTTTGGCTAGGCA